CCTTTATTGATCCCAAATGGAATATAAATGTTGTTGTAGCTCAAATCACAAGTTTCTTCAAAGGGTTATTGTAGATGGTGATGGCTGTGGACATCTTATCGATTAAGGGGAACAACTCACTCGTGATTTTTGCAATTCTGTCAGATTAAAAACATTTTGCGTTGGTATTTTACACCATTTGAAAGAGACAAAAAAGCAATCCCAAGCAAAATATTAAATGAACTCTATTCTCTGCATGGTGACGGAGACTGTGCACACTGCAAACTGAAATACTTTCAAAATCACTTTCAACACAGCAAAGCACGGTGATGGTAGTATCATGCTGCCAGGTGTAAATGTGCTCCACACCTCCCTCTTTGTCCTTTGTTGTATTTCTGAGACTGCTTCATCATCACTTACTGCTGCTAATGTAATAAAATATTTGTGGTCTATTCAGTGGATATAAAAGCATTTTTAGAGAAGACCAATAAAAAAATCATTAATATCTGCAATAATGTGGAAAATGCTTTAAAAAAAACCTGAAGCTATTAATTAATTATAATTTGTTTGCATTAAAAAAATATGTAAAAATGAGTCACTAAGCTGACTGTAGGCTATGGGCCAGAAGAAAGATGCTGGAGTAAGCCCTGCTTCAATCTACACCCAAGATTGAGTTGCTTCAGTCCTTTTATCCTTTTTGCAAAATATTTACATTAATTAAATTACATTTTTTTAAACTACAAATTTGACATGATTACATGGTGTTTGACAATTTGTTGTAACTATGTACCAACTCCCTTTTGACTACCGTTAAGCAAATACATCTATCATTATAGATAGACAAAGCAAGTCAAGTCTAATTCCTATGTTCCAAACTAAACGACCTTTTGTGTAAAGTTTTATATTTTAAGAAATTTTAATACAAAATATTTACCTTTTTTACTATATTTCTGTTCTAAACGTCACCCATACAACATAAAAATGAAAATGGCATCTCTTTTATCTAAAGTATTGTTTATTTTTTAAAGGCGTTGCAATGCTTTTATTTTTGTTTTCATGGTACCAGTGGTAGCTTTAAGATACTTTTTAGGAGTCCGGAAGAAGTGAAAAATAAAACTGACGTCTACAGCACGAGCCATGATTGTAACTTACCCTGAAAAAGCGAAATAAATAAATAAATAAATAAATAAATAAATAAATAAATAAATAAATAAATGTTCCACAAACAAGCAGAGAGGCAGTTCAATGAAATACAGCACGCGCCTTAATCCACATGAACAAAAATGGCTCCGGAAATATTAAATGTCCCGCAGCGAGGTGAGACCAACATACAAGCGCCAGCTGGCCACTGTGTATCGACAGACGGAAATAGGAGTTATAAAACCTCAGCATCATCCGCAGAGCTCGGAGATGCTGCTGCCTGGCTAAAACACGGACTCCCCTCAGCCTTCTCTGCCACTGCTCCTCCTCGCGTCACTTATAACGGGAGGTAAACATACGGGGCCGCAACCAGAACGTAAACACCCCTTATGCTGCTATCCCGTATTTATGAAGCCAGGAGGAAAAGGGAGAAGCCCGTCAGTCTGCTCCAACTTAATCCTATTTGAGCCTTGTTAACAACTCTTACCTTGTCCCTGCTCCTTTGTCCTGTTGCGGTCGGTGTTTCTGCCGGATATCGGTGTGTATTCTCAGTATATTCGTGTATCTGGGACTCGGGTGTGCGCTGGTGCTGATGGTGAGCCGCAGCTTCGGTCCCTCCGCTCGGCTTGTGGTGCTGAAGTGGACAGCGCTTCGAACAGCTCCGGGAACAAAAACCCTTATATGGGCTTCTCCGCCCTCGTCACAGTGCATAGCGCCCTCTGTCAGAGCGGAGGAGCGCCTACAGCACAGAGGTGACATTGAGCACAACGAGTAAATTATTCCCATTTTAACGACACAGGAATTGATTTTTAGATTTTTTTTTATTATTATTTTTGTTTTGGTTATGGTTATTAACTAAATCCTTAATTAAAACTACAAAAAACAAAATCAGCATTTTCATTAGGACCTAATTTATGATGACAATAAGTCAACATCTATACCAGTGGTGCCCAAAGTCGGTCCTCAAGGGCCGGCATCCTGCATGTTTTAGTTCTCTCCCTGGTGGTAGTAACCTTTTCAGCATATCAGTATTCTTCTTAGGCCTCTAATGAGCCATCATTGGATCCAGGTGCGATAAACCAGTAAGAGAATTAAAACATGCAGGATCCCGGCCCCGACTTTGGGCACTACTGCTCTATACAGCTAGGACCCTTTTGCATGTAATCATGATATAAATGTAAAACTCAATGTGTGCTGTCGGTACTGTCTTCCCATGTATAGACAGCGAGTTGAACAAAGCTGACAAGTGAGATGTTAAAAGGTTGAGATATTGCTTTATAGAGAAACCTCAATCTAAACACTGAAGTTTAAGGTTGCAATGTGACAAAATATAAAAAGATCAAGAAGTATGAATGCTTTTATAAGGAGCTGTAACTAGAAGAACACAAAATCATGTAAGCAGAATACAAGGCACTGACTTTATTTATGAGCAAGGGGAGAAATAATGTTTTATATATGCAAGTCAGCCTGAGAGTAACTGTAGAAGGCCACTGGTTTAAAACACAATTATAAGACACACCAGGCACGGAGCTATGGGGGGGGCTGAGGGGGCGGCTGCCCTGGACCCGGGTCTGGAGGAGCCAGAGAGGGAGGAATGGTTTCAAGTCGCTTTAATGTCTGATTATAGACAGAGAAAGTGCGCCCTCGCCTGTTCAGAAAGGTGTATGTAATGTTAAAGTTACTGTCCCTCCATGGAATATATAGTAGTCAGTCCCAGTGACTGTTTGACTCACGGTTTAGCCAATGTGCTTCCTGGGTAAAAATGAAACGAGAAACGCTCAACAGTGTCCAGCAGCGCAGGTGATACACGTGAGGGGCCCGGTCATTGGCCCCGCCCCCCGGCACAATATACATGTAAAATTAAGTCACCATTGCTACAGTGATTGACAGCTCTACATGTGTCACAGAAATTAATGTACAGTATGCAACATGTATTTATGCAATATATAATATATGTATATGGTAAAACTTTAAGCACACATCACATTTAGTATTAGTTCTGGGTGAGTTGGAAGTTTAATTGAAAATATGATTTACTTTTATTCACTACAAACAGTCTTAGAAGTGAGCATCGAATCCAAATCCAGCCTTCCAGTTGTGTTGGTCCGCTATGGAAAGCTGATTTTGTCATTAATCATGATACCTGCTGTTCAAGAAATGCTGTCAAAGGCGCCACCTGGAGTTTATTAAGCAACACTACACACACAAATATCTATAATCAGAAGGAAAATATAAAGAAATGAGGGCTTATTAAGGGCTCAAAGGGGCTAAATCATTTGTCTACATAGCTATGTAAGTAGTCAATATAATACTGCAATAAATATATTAAATGTCTCAAAAATGTATGTGTATGAATAAATATGTCAGTAATTTATAAAATACAAAAGTGATTAAATCTGTATATCACTGATTAAAACTCAAATTTACAATGTGTTCAAATCATATCTAATGGGCTCTTTGCGCGTACGGCGCAGACGTCATATCCGCATTCTTGTTTCCGCTTTGAGTTACCATAACAACTAGAAAAGACAAGATCGTATTTCAGGAGCAAATAAAGCAATACTATGAACATTGTTGTCTTCCAAATATAATGGGCTTTTAAGTTTTCATGGATTTCCAAGCGATCCTGAATTAAGATGGTGACTTGTAAATATTCATCGCTACCAGTTAAAGCTAACACTGCACAGCAAAGTTTGCAACCTTCACTTCACTCCGGATCAGCTTCTTCAGCCTAAAACTACCGGGGGATACGGATGGTAAATAAAGGAGCCGTCCCTGAGTTATTTCCATGAAATCAACTGTATTCAGAATATGGGAGGGAACGAGTGAGCAGACCAAAGCCAGACAGCCAAGCAACTGATCCGCCTGTACACACTGCGGTAAACGCATGGTCACAACTACATATTATTCAGGTATATGCGAACACATCATCGGCGCGTCGCCCTCTCCAGACGGGGTTTTGACGCCCCCTCTGGTGCAGCGCCCATATGCGTTGCATGCGCTGCATGCCCACTTTTTGCGCCACTGTGTAAACGCCGTCCTATTTGAGCTCTTCACAAGAAGCATGTAAAAGTAATAAAACTAAATAACACGGATGCCTTAAGGAACACATCCATTATTTTCTAGAAACAACAACTTTGAACCTGAACAGCTAGCTGAACTCGAACTCTGACACCAGAGCTGAACTACTTTTAAGCTATGGGGCTTGTGCTTCGGAAGCAAAGAGCCAGAACCGTAATCTCCCCAGTTACTTGGTCTCTGTTTGACACTAAAGACAATAAACACACATAACTGAAAATTAATACAAAGTAGAGTAAAAACATTGTCCGTTAGAATGAATTAAACGTTTAGATACTTAAATATCACATTTTTATAAGAAAAATGTCCGAGAATGTTGCCTACTAGCATAAGCTAAAGTTAATGTTAGTCATAACGTAAAACTCACCTTCGTATCGGTGACCGCATAACGAGGCCTACATCTTAAAACCTTTCTCCAGCGTTGGGGCTTTGGATCGAGGTACATCATTAATTGCTACCTTGGGTAAGCTGTGCAAGCACCTAGCGTAAAATGTCATTGTCAACACCGGAAGTGACAGAGCTGCTTATCCCCGAACACGGAAGCTGACGTGCAAAAAGCCCATTACTTCAGGTATTTGTTTCATGTCAACGATTTATGAAATATTTTTTCCTCACTATGTGTCATCATGAAATATGATGCACTACAAAACAGGATTACGGAATAATTTGAGTGGAAAAAGAGTTAACTTTTAATGTCTAAAGAACACATTTTTAACCAATTTTTACATATAATTGTTCACGTATTTTACAAATTCTTAAAATAATTAAGTAATTCCAGCTGTTTAAAGTATGTCTCTTTTTTCTTCTTTTAAGTTATTATATATACTGTTATATACCTTTTCAATGACTTCTACTGAATTGTGGACTCTGACCCTTTGCACAAAAGTCTTGAGTCCTAGCTAGTTAGCTATCTAGCTAGTTAGCTATCTAGTTGGTTAGCTATCTAGTTGGTTAGCTAGACAAATAGCTAGATAAGGGTTTTGTTAAGCATTTTTAAGGGTTTTGTTTAAAAGTGGTGATATACTTTTTGAACTCCAGGTGGCTTGTATACATAAACCTTGTAATAGCGTTAAATAAACATAATAAAGGCGGGTCTTAACCGCATTTTTAGACACCAGCGGCCACCACAAAGCACCCAAATGAATTTTGAAGCGGCTTTCCACATTTCCGTCCCTTCACTTAGGATTTTTTTCCGAGGGTATTCTTCATTGGTCCGTAAGCTGCGCACACTACTGCCGCATGATGGGCTGTAAGGAGTGGTCCATAGCAGGAGCAGGCTCCCCCTGGGTCACTGCGAGTGCAGCCTGCTCCGGTAGGAGGCTGGGGTCAGTCAGGATGGCTGTGGTTGTACTCAAGAGACGGAGTGAACTCAGAACCACTGGGGGAACAAGCAAGAACAGGAGAAACAAGATTTAAAACGCCGACTTACAGCTTGGCTGACCACAAAGAGGGAGACACTAACAAACGGAGTGTAACTGTAGAAGCCTCTGATGGGATTTGTGCTGGACTCACTGGGTCTAAGAGCAGGCAAGGCACAGTGCTGGTCCAACCAGGAGAGAGTGGATCGACACAGGTCTTCCACGCTCGCCGTGGAAACCATCCCATTGTAGGACTCGAACAGAGGCTCAATGATGATACTGAACTGACACTGAGCTAAGGAAGGGCACGTTTCAGTATCAGGATTCAATCTTGTCAATGAATCCCACCATATTTACAAACCTGGCCAGATGTCAAACATTTCTCAGTGTCTAACGACCTACACATCTGGCATGTTGCGCCTGAAGACATTCACACCAATTTAACCGACAAGTCAATAATTTGTAGAATAAAGTGAATTAAAAGCACAAGCAGTTCATCTTAAATCATAGTGTATGGAATAAGATGTACAATCAGATTAACTAATAGTTTTACCAGTAAACATGATCGCATTATCGTTTATAATTTGTAAATAAATGTTCAGATCAAGAAGTTGTTGTTTTGTACTTTAGAAATGCGGAAGTAGTAAACGTGATAATGGTGCTATATGCTTTATTATTAATTTTGTATTATGAGTTTATTTTTTTTCATGCTAGTCAGCGTGTCATGCAACAAAGGCACAATGGGAGCAGGACTTTTTTACAGCAGATCCATGCTAAGCTAAAATATGCAGCATGCGATTTTGCACAGCACTGCAAAATGATTTGTTTCTTGGACTTATTTATTTTAACATTTTACTTCTGAATTTCTCAGAAGCAGACAACAAAGAGGACATGTTTAAACTTCATCGGCTTGTTAGATTCAAAGCCAATCGACAACCAGCATCATGCCGGTTCAAAGACGTTTCTGTGATGATTTAGTTTCACAGATCTTAAATTAAATGCCTGAGGGGCAAAAAGAAATAAATCAAAAAGTGACCTTGACCATTCTCCCAACTCCCGCAGAGGCGAACTCAGATGTGAACCTGCTCATTTTTGTTTTACAAGCTATAGATGTTTCATAAAACATCTTACTGCACAGGTGCCTCTGGCAGCAAAGTTTGAAATTCAGAATTTCTTTAGCTTCGGTCTTTGATGTTATCTTTGTGGTATGTTTTATTAAATATATTGACTTGAGAGAATCCCGAGTTCATTAATTATTTCACACTTGGATTCAGTATTTCTTTTTTTAAAGAGTGGCATTGACTTTTACAGGAAAAATGGTGAATTAAATAAAAAACAATAATTTTCAAACAATGCACAGGTGTTTAATGTCTGTTTGTTGACTCCCTGACTAAAGAGTGAACTTCTTCTGACCTCAAACTGCAACGTTTAAATTTAATCAGAACAAATGAAAGGTGTGGAAGCTCAACTGATATTTCACAGACAATTTTCTTACCTACATTGCAAAGCATCTGCTATAAGTGGTATAAAATCTGTTCATATGTATTTGGAGAAAAAGGCTTGGAACCACATCATTAGTTGATGTTCTTAAAGTGTCTGCAACCTGAAGTCGGTACTGTCACTTTACACTCAGTGGCTTGCCAAGATCAATAACTTTATTTTAAAACCTCAAAATAAAAATAAAAGTGCCTTTCTTTAACTTTAAAATACATAAAAATAACTTTGATAACAGTTATGTGCGTGCATGTCATTTTATCAGTCGAATCGAGTCGGTTTTTATTTATTTAGTGCCAAATCATTCAAATATTAATCAACTTTTTAGAAGTCGAATGAAGGAAAAGCGATAATTTGATACAGTTTGAAACAACCGACACTTTGAGGACATTTCTGATCTCGGCACCACTGATCTACGGCATAAAACCTAAATAAAACACTCTCAGGCGTGCGGTGACAAAATATAAATGACTACAAAAAATATATTCACTTTCGTGAGGCGCCGCGTCGCATTCAGATCCCGATTTTAAAAAAACTAAATTCATTCATAAGGATACGATCCAGAACTTCCAGTTCTGCAGAGTCTGAGCCCGGACGTACTCTCTGAACTTTTGCCTCATGTAGTCAAAGCGCTGCCGTGTGATGGGGACACCTGTGGCTGGGAGCTGCTGCTGGCAAGCACTGCACAAAACACACACCAACACACACGGAGTCAACAGAGCAGCGTGACCCATCTTCATGACAGCAGGGTAAGAAGAACGAGGAACATCGAGGAGATGAGCCACAGTCTTGAATAAGCATCTCTACTCCTGGCTGATCAGGAAGTGAGGAAGCACACAATCAGAGGCCGATGCTGAGTAAACGTCTCACTTGATGGCAGAGTTCAGGTGCTGGATCTCCTCTCGGAGTCTCTGGACCTCCTCGTGCAGCTGAGCTCTCTCCTGCTGCATCTTGCTGATGTACTCGGCAGTCTTCTGCAGCGTCGTGGCTTTGCTGATCTGTGCCGGCACACAGACAGATTACAACCCGCGACGCAACACCGCGCAACTATTCACAATGCCATTAGCGCCTCTGTTAACATGGGGAGATGTACTTCACCAGGCCGCTCCGGCGCTCTTCACCCTTCGACGGCCTCACTGGTAAATGCAGCTGCGTCATTCGTTCAGCGTACCTTTATGCTCGGCTGGGAGCTGAGCGTCGTCACCAGGTTATGTAAAGTGTCGAATCCCAGTTTGATGTTGAAACGTCTCTTTTGCTCGGCAGAGATGTGAGTTATCCTCCTGGTCTCCGTTTGCTGCAGACAGCACAGAAACGTAGGTCACATTTCAAATCTCATGTTCCCAAAACCTTCCTACATGTGCAGCAAAGAAGAAAAAGACTAGAACATTCCAAGTTCTATATTAATATAAATAAATGCCTTATTTAACATGTAAACATTACAAAATGTCCCACCTTGTTAGACTCCAGCTTTCCTTGTCCTGAGAGGCCGGACTGCGGGGAGCCGGGATTGGAGGCTTTGTCCAGAGGGTTTGGTGGAGAGATTTGGCCTGGATGAGCACTGAACTGAACTAAAAGAAATAACATTGACCTTTAAGTTTAGCTTCAACACACAAATAACATTCTGAATTCGACTCTTAATTATTGACAAAATGAATCAGATTAATTGTGACTAATCGATTACTAAAATAATCGTCAACCAATTTAGAAAGAGAAAAAAAAAACTCCTATTAGACACCTTTTGCTGTCCAATAACTGAGTAAATTAAAAAATAATCAACAGATTAGCCTTACACTGTAATGATGCTAAGTCGAGCAGAAAGGCCTGAGATTTTCACATGTTGACGTGAGAAAGATGTTTTTTTCACTGCATATCCATCCTTTGATACAAATAATTGAGCTTCTCACTAAAGGAATGCTTTGTTATTGCATTTTAAGCAATGAACTGTTTATTTTCTTAATTTAAAATTATTTGAATTATGTGCATCTTTTATGTATTTTTAAAATCATACACAATAGGCGTAAGTGGTTCAATGAAAGATCTGCAAAGTGTGTAAATTTTTTATGTGATTATTCTATTAATCATGACTAAAATAACTATATCCAGCCTTATCAGAATCAAACTAATATGATTTGTTGATATATTGCTAGCTTTTTCCCCACATTTTCTTGAGCTAAATGTTAACATTTAATCACTTATTTGAAAATTCAGCTTGAATGTCCTTGGAAAAGTGAGATATGTAAGGGCGTACCGGTCAGGCTGCTCCTGTCTGTGGCGTAGAGGGGAACAGGTGACAGCTTCTCGGTCTTGGGAACCAGCAGGGCGGCGGCGCTGTTGGTGGACCCGTGGGTGAGAAGAGCGGACACCGCTGAGCCTCTCGAGGTGCTGGCGCGCGGCGCGCTGTGGCCAAGCGGAGGCGTCATCACTGTAGGCCAACCTGCTCCGTGCTGCAGCGTCGAGGAAACGCCGCCAACTGGAGCAGCCCGGCTTGTCTGCTGAACAACACATGTTTTCTGATGAGAAAGAGAACACCAGAGCAAATGCATTTGATTATGTCTAAACTAGAAAGACTTTTGACGTTACATTAAGAGCCAAAGTACAACAGAACAAATCTGCTGACAAGAGTGTGACTTTTAAGCATTTTGTGACGCTTTAATACTACAGAAAGCTAACAGTAATGAAGTGCTAACAAATACAGAAAACAGAAGCACACAAAATGTGCCGATGAATTTTTGGTGACGAAACACTGTTTCAAGAAAATTATAATATATATTTCTCATTTAAAATAAACCCACTGCTACTAATATCAGGATGTCTAGAATTCCTATCTTATTTATTGGAAAGAGTAAAAAGTACAGAAATTATTCAGTTAGCAGGTCTGTTGAGTTTCCAAAGCAATGAAAGACGGACTGCTATTTTTGATATTTGAAATCTTGCTGAACAAAATCAGTCTTTAATCTTAAACTGCACTAAATAAAACCAAGCTAAACTAGATTAAGCTAATATAAGCTAGGCTAAAAACTAAGACAAGCCAAATTGTCTTAGTTAAATAAACTAGATGACAAATTAATATAAATTTAGATCATTAAGATGAACTAAGACAAGAAAAACTAAGCAAAACAAAGCTAACGTAGGCTCAACTAAACTTAGCTAAAGTGAAATGGATTAAGCTAAAATACGCTTTGCTAGAAAACTGTTAACTAAAGCCAAGTAAAATTAAGCATAACATAAGCTAACACAAATTAACATGAGATTAGCTAAAATTAACTTAAACTAAGCAAAACAAATGTACAATATAAACTAGGCTAAATTAAAACAGTGACTGTTGAATGTGTGTGGGTGTGTGTGTGTGTGTGTGTGTGTGTGTGTGTGTGTGCGTGCACGTGTGTGTGTGTGTGCACATGTGAAGGAAGAACAGTCGCTGTTCAGCTTCATGGGGACTTGACATTGAGAGCATATGCTTCTTGATAAAGATGCCTTTGGCTTTGCTTTCAAAGAATACAACCAAAAATAATAACAAATTAAAATGGGATCATCTAACATGAGCTCAGTTAAACTAATTTCACTTATTTATGATAAACTAAATTATTAATAGCTAATCTAATAATAACAAATGTAGCATAAACTAGACCAACATAAGCTAAGCTAATTTAAAATACGGTAAGCTATAGGATATGCTAAACCAGAGGTTCCCAAACTGTGGGGCGCGCCCCCTAGGGGGGGCGCCGTGTCATTGCAGGGGGGTCGCGGGAAGCCGTCTGGATGAAAAAAAAAAAAAAATGAAAACTGTATGCGCTGGGTTTTTACCTTAGAATGGCCAACTCTCTGTTATTCCTATGTCAATGTGATACAGTAAGGGCTTCCACACTTCCCATATTTGTGTCCTCTGTCACCTTTATCAGTTAAAACTGTTTAATCCGTTGTTTAACTGTTTAACCCTACCCTAAATAAAGTAAACTCAACCAAACAACACTAGTAGTTTGGTTGAAGCTTAACTTACTAAAGTTAGGCCACTTTACTATGCGGGAATAACCATCCATTTAAAGCTCTAGTTGACATATTAGACTGCAGCAATTATTTTACAACAAAAAGCCTAATATTTTGCTGAGCACTGTCTCTTCTTTGCTACATCCTTTCTAACATTTAGCAGGATTTAAGAGAAATTACCTAATGCCAGAACTCCTTTGTAAAAGAAAAAATAAAACAAAAAAAACCCCTAAATTTTACATTTAGGAGTTAATGTCTGAACATGAGCTTACAAGCTGAAGGTCTTGACTGCACAAAGTAAGACATGTTCAGTTAAGCTAACCCATGCTAACAACCATCTAGCTATGAGTTATAATCAAAATGGATCTCTGTATTTGAAATATGTGTTTTAAACAATTCCTGTTACGTCTATTTATCTCTGTGCAAAACAGGAGATACAGAAACACTTATTTAAGGCTTACCACAGAGCTCTTAGATGTTGACCTCTGACCTTTAGTTGTCATCAGAGAGGTGCTATTAAATCCAAGCGTTGGTTTTCCTATAAGAACAGAGAAAATTATCCATTGTGCGCTTCACTATAAGCTGTTATCAGACGTGAAGCGGTTGTTTGAATTAGCTCACTGTCATGTGTGCTGGAGGAAAGCAGCTTAGCCAGGCAGCTGGTGGGGATGGGGGCAGTGGATTGGGGGTTGGAGGGCAAATCGGGGGATCCAGCTGTCCGCAGGCCTCCTGTCTTCTGCTTGTGTTTCCCCCTGACCCCTGAAACAACCAGCTGCTCCGGGACAGACAGGCAGTGGGTCGCTGTGACAGGAGCCAGCGCTGCGTGGACCGGGTCCGACGCGGCGGCCGGGTAACTGAGAGAGTGGCAGTGGGTCTGGGAGTATGGGTCCACCGCCGGAGAGTAGGTATGAGCCTGGTACACGGAGCCCTGGGCTCCCATGGTGGAGGCCGTGTGAGTGATAACGGTGGAGGTCACGCTCGTCGTTGTGTAGAGCCCAAACTTGTGACACGGCAGCGGGTGCAGGAAAGGAACGCTTGCAGAGACAGGCTGCTCTGCGTTACTAGTGTATGCCGTAGACGCAGACGCATCGTGGTACGACTGATGTCCGTACGACATGGCTCCGGACGCCATGCTGGACGTATGGTACTCGCCACAGTCCTGGCTAGCCCTGGTCTGCTCTGAGCGAGGGCTGGATGTAGAGGGCTGGGCTAGACTGTCAGAAGACAGAGTAGGCTGCAGGGGGGGGGGACTCAAAGTTAACATTTGTTTTTAATAAAACTCTCCACAAAGTGCTGTAACCAGCAGAACCACCTGAGACAGCTGGGTGTCGATAAGAAGCTGAGGGGCCGTCACAACAGGAGAGGGAACGGGAGCATAAGCTGTGCTGGGTGGACCGTCAAAGTAGCTACAGTCGGCAAACCCACTCTGGTGAGTGGGCTGACCTCGGTAGTTCAGAAAGATATCTGGGAACACAGGAACAGAGTTTATTAAACAGCCATACTTCCCATATTACAAATTACTTTTATCTGGGAAACATCGAGGTAGGGATGTGATGTTTTATAATGTAATGTTTCTCTTTTGTGCTGAAACAATAAAATTGTGTTTAAAAAAAAAACAATTTTTTTCCAATTTGCCAAAATGTTCGGAAAGTGGAACAGTGCCCTCTGGAGGACAAACTGAGTATGACAGTATTACTGAAAAATAATGATCTACCACTTTCTCCAGTCACTGGTTGCTGAAGCATTCACAAAAAGCTGTGGATATAAAATATCTACACTCCATGTTCATGTTTATTTTTGTGATGAACAAAATGAGACCATGATAGTGTACTCTGTCTGACTCATAAGAAAGAAAGAAAGAAAGAAAGAAAGAAAGAAAGAAAGAAAGAAAGAAAGAAAGAAAGAAAGAAAGAAAGAAAGAAAGAAAGAAAGAAAGAAAGAAAGGCACAAGCAAATCTGTTGGAAGGAAAAACAGAAAAAACCCGTAACGACCTGGCTTCCTAAGAATGAGAAACATGAAACAAAACTTTGTCAAAGTGTTTTTTGATAAATCCAAAAACACTTTGTTGAAGTGTCGCTCTGTCCTCCCACAAGATTTTAGGAGATTTTAGACATGCCTGGATGTAATACTCAAAACAGAATATTGTTTTTCAGCTCTGCTTAATCCAGACATCTCATGGTATATTTGAGATCTTCGGTAAAGCACATTGCAGCATCCTTTGAGTCTGATAAGTGATTTACAAACGTCTCAAAGAATTTGAAATCAGCCATTCTTACTTTACAGTTGTGTCCAAATTTTTTAAGTACTTAATGGACATAAAATTAACTTTTTTTTTGTTCATTACAAAACATAATAGCAATTTTTTTTACACTTAGGTACAAAGGAGATCTGTCAGTCATTCTGGATCCACAACATGAAAAGCGCCTTCATTTGTTAGCCGTATTGATTGCTTTCTATTTTTAGGCTATCGTCAGAAATAGCAACCGGATTTGGGTCACTCTGTCTTTGAAAGTATTTACGTAGGTTTAACAAACGGCTGACCAAGTCTGATTTTGAGTAAAATTCACTGGACGCTTGTGGTCCAGCTTACTACAAAACTATGATGGCATCAGAAGGTGTGATAAAATAAGGAGCAACACTTCATGCTGAAACATTTTCGGTTTTAAAAATGGTTTTATTTTGTCAGGGAAATGTCTTTAAAAATGTAAAAATTATTTTTAAAAAAAGCTCTGTGGCCACCATCCAGATTTGTACCGTTCTTGAACTGCAGTGGGAGGCCACACAAAATCCCCCCAGGTGCTGAAAATGGCCTGTGGACCTGCACTTTGGACACCTACGGTCTAGATTTGTCAAACTGATAAGACCCTTACCTAACCAGCTTCAAGAAAAACAACAACAGGTAATATTAAACACTAAGACATCACATGTTGCGGTTGCACGGAGATTTGCTGGCAAACAAATAAATCGCCGCATAAACAGAGGAATAAGAAGGGAGTACCTGGGATGTCCATGAAGTCATCCATACTGGGCTGCAGTGGCGTCAGGCCCGGCTGGATCATGTCAGCATTGCTTGTGTATGCTAAAGGGAGAACGCATACAAAATGAAATCATTCACTAAAAGGCGTGCTCCTTATTTTCACACGACGGTATCAATTGTTAAACTCATCACCAAGACAAACAACGTTAAACAGAAACAATTAAATCAGTCTGTAAGCTAATTAATAAATAACAACATATTGATCATAACTACACCACATTTTATCCCTTTGACCAACCCCAGACTGAATTAAAACACGTTAAAATGTTAACTTTGATGGTTTTATAAAACAAATTCTGACACAGAGAACAGAACCAGCCTTCTTTATTTAGTCCTTTTAAAGGAGCAGTATTAAAGATTATCAGGATATTTTGTGGCCCTATTGTGATAACGATAAAAATCATGATAAAAATATACATATTTATTTTTAGGAAACTGTATGACTGTGACTTCATAGCACCACAAACACAAATATTGTTCTTGGAAAACATTTGAAATAGGCTTCTTCAAACATGACTCAGAAGAAATTCGACTTCACAATTTAACCCCCTAAAATTGGGGCTCTGTCTCTTTAAGAAACTCCTGCTCTTTCTGACACTCCGCCTTCAGCACGTCATCACATCTAAGTGCTGCTGCTGGTAGTTTGAAGGAGCTGAGTGAAGTGATCTATGATGCAGAAGCTCGGCTGGGAAGCTGCAGCTCCAGGAAGGCAGCGCTTGGTTGCCCCATGAAAGAATCAAAGCAACACTCCATTTATGTGCAAAGATAACACGATGAAAAGCTTATTTTACATAATACTGCTCCTGTAACTTCCTGACTCAGATGCTGCTACCCCAACAGATGAATGTCGACGGCTTCACTGTTTCAACAATATCCGAGTTATTTCCAAGAAGAATCGTTAAAACAAAAAAAGATAACCCACATACTTTGTCTGTTTTAATGCTGCTTTGTCATGAAAAATAAAAGCAAAGATTACCGCTGTCAATCAGACGGTGCGTGTCTCCACAAACTTTGCCTGTTTGGTGCTTTCGTCTCAACTAGCCCCTTTGTTTTTTTTTTTGTTTTTTTGAGGAACAATTTTGTTTATAAATACTTTTAAATTCACTTAATTTGTAGTTTTATTTATGTTTTTTAGATATTTCAAATGTCTTCTAGATCCAGTGTTAAATGTTCATTAGAATTTAAAGTTTATCTTTAAGAATGTGTTCTTGCATCATTATTTTTGTCACTATCATTATGTTACTTAAAAATGGTCTCAAAACAATGCTATCGTTTATCACAATAACTTCTGGAACAATTTATCGTCTTGCAAAATTTTATGACAGGCCTAATTATGCTTGACACACCATCACATAACACCATGACGACCTCTAAAACTTAATCCCTAAACACCCCTCAGTTTTACACAAATTCATTTCGAAAGTCTCCAGATGTGGACAACCAACTCACTGTTGTGTCTGTCGCTGGTCCAGGGACAGGGTTTCTGGGTCATGGTGAAAAGCGTGTCGGAGATGTCGGACAGAAGGCAGTCCAGGTCAAACATGTGGGCCTCTACAGGGGCGACTTCAGGTTGCTGGTAGGAGTGACTGGACCATCTGTCCAGCTTGGCCTGGCAGGTCTGCCCCTGCAGCACCGCAGGAGAAAGACGGAGAAACGTCATCAGAAGCCAAGACGCAAACGAGCAGAGGCCAGAGCGATGCGATGATGACTCTCATGAAAATTGAACTACAGGATTTAGAATGTCATCATGATATTTTGTGGTGATGTTGTGACAGTGCTGAAAACTTTGATGGAAAACTATTTAATACTTCTCTTTTACGTAACTTTATGACTGTGTTGCCCTGCGACAGACTGGCGACCTGTCCAGGGTGACCCCGCCTCTCGCCCGGAACGTTAGCTGGAGAGGCACCAGCAACCCTCCCTACCCCACCAAGGGACAAGGGGGTAAAGAAAATGGATGGATGGATGGATGGATGGATGGATGGATGGATGGATGGATGGATGAATGAATGAATGACTGACTGACTGACTGCATGGCACAGCATTCATAATTCCACAAACACAAATATTGTCCTTGAAAAATATTCCTGTTATCGATAAGCTTCTACTCTGTGGGTAGATTGGTCGTCTTGTGATCGGAAGGTTGTAGGTTCGATTCCAGCTTCCTCCTGCCACATGTCGATGTGCCTCTGGGCAAAGCACTTAACCCCAAACTGCCTACCGATCTGCGCATCGGTGTATAAATGTGTGAATAAGTGAATGTGACTCCAGTGCAAAGAGCTTTGAGTGGTTAAGAAGATCGAAAAAGCCTAATATAAGTTCAGTCCATTTACAAAGTGTGATTTACTTCACTCTGCTGCACAGTAACTGCATTTAGTCATATTTTCAAATGTACTGATATTTACTAATGCAGTGCACATTTTTTTATATACCAACAATGACTGAACTCTATCATGACAATAATAAATCAAAATTCCTAACATGATGCGATAAATTATAAACGATACGATAAATGTCCACCTCTAATCTGAACCAAGAAATAATTCTTAGTTGCAAAATTACTTTAACTCATAATAACAAAAACTAAAACTCAACATATTTGAATTCATGCATTACAAAAAAGATTTACAATTGAATATCCTTTTACAAACAAAACTACACTCCGCCCCCCTTAATAGCACCAGTCAGTTAAAAACGCTTTATGTTAAAGAGCCGCCGTATTCTGGAAAGCAAGTAAAACTTACAGAAAATGCAGCTCATGACTCGGTCCGCTCCCTCTGCACACAGCGCTTTATTTCACCCTGACCGTCTTTGTCATCTTCACCCACCAAGCCCAGACCCGGAGCCGGTCTTATAGGGAAGCCTAGATTGAGCCGGAAGCTCCTTTGATTACGTTTGAGACATCCCCTCTGAGGAGATTGGTGAGTTTTGCATGCACATGCATGTGTTTGTGTGTGTGTTTGTGAAGCCCATTATGAAAAAAAAAAAAAAAAAACACATTGTCAAAAAACACAAGGCCCCCAACAGGTTATCATTATGTGGTTTCATTTTGACGTCTCAATATTTCGAAACCGCCGACAGCCTTTTGTCCCTGACCTAATTCTGGGAGCTGCACACACGTGCATGCAAACAGGAAGACCCGGCCAGTCAAACTGCGCCCGGTTAAATAGGGATAACACACACACACGCGCGCGCGCGCGCGCACGCATACGTAGGAACGTCAAAATTTCCTACTTCTGATAGAACACGTTTTGGGTTCCCTGCATCTGAGTGGTACCTCATAATAAAGACCGCTTCCAAAAAAAAATGAAACGAAGGAAGAACGAACAAAGATTCATCTTCCATCTCTGTTTCATTCAGTGTAACTGGATTCCTAGATTGAACTTATCAATCAACATCATATTTGCAAAAAACAGCCTCTGGTTTGACCTCGAATCACTTCAGGTGATTAATTTTAGATGCGGCCCGTGAGGAAGAATCACTGGAGCCAAATTTCAAGTCATGAAACCACAACATGTGGAATTTGCTTAAAAGAAAGAAAGAAGAAACTATGGTTGACATCATGACCATTCTAGAAGCTTTATTTTAAATTTCTTTTATCTCAAATCACTTGAGTTTTATTTTGGATAATTCACCCTGAAAAATTATTCATTTTCATTTATAAAACCTCAAATCAACACGTAATTTTCCTGTTTTCTTGCCTCCTTTTCTGAGCTGGTGGTCATCCTGAGCAACAGTCTGACTGAACGGCCTACCCCGCCCAGGCGATCGCAGCTTTTCAGCCCTGATTACAGAGAGCTAGAATCTCTGAATCACTGGAGCAGAAATGATGACATCAACAAATTATTAGCAATTTTATGCTATGAAACACACTTCTGAAGCCGAAGAACATTATACCCCCAACGGTCTTATGCAACTGCCCCCGCCCCTATTAGTTTTCAGACTTTCAGCATCAACAAATCTCTCTGCAAGAGACGTTGCTAACATCAAGAAAAAATAAGCAAGGATGTTATTTTACAAAAACGATTTACATTTCTCAGTCTTAATATTTGGTTAGTTGCACTCATTTTATCATAATTCGATTTCTTTCTATAGCAAAAGTTTCACAACATGATCTAACTTATTTTACCTTTTTTTAAAACGTAGATGTGTCTATTCCTTAATTAAATAATCAAAAGGAACCATTTTTGGCAATTAGACCACAAAATCTTAAGTTTACAAAAATAACCTTGTGTAAAGGAGGAATCTAGAGGTGGTTCTTGAGCGCAATTGTTTTGACTCAAAAATCGATTTTGAATCGAAAGGTTGGCTTTAAAAATCGGATTCAAATCATGAGATAATAAACGATTTCCACCCCTAGAATATAAACTATTAGCTTTTCTATGTTTGGTTTTCTGCCTCCCTCCAAACATTATAAATATGTTCATGAAATACAACTCTAGATTTGTTCACGATTCCCAAAACTAATGGGAGTGATCTTTTTTTTTTTTTGCACTTGCCTTTGCGAAATAGTTTAAACAGCCAGATTACAAGATATTTCTTGGATTCTAAAACACAACTTTTACTGCATAAAACTGGAAATAAATAAAAAAAACTTGGCTCTATAGATTTTGGCCAAATTAAAACAGAGACCTAGTGAGATGAAAGACCGAAAAACTCTAGTTTGATGGAACAAAAATAGATGTTTGGTTTCGCTTGTGTGTTTTTCCAGCCTCTGGATGTAACCGGTGGATGGCCAGATAACACATGGCAGCGTAAAGCAGCGATCTTTGACCAGCTGCTGATATGTCCCCTTTTAAGTACCGTGCAGAATCTGATCGCACGGACGCTAGGAGACAGACTCATTACCGGAGCGTTCTTAATTTTTAACTCAGCTAAACAGAGCCTCTCGGCGCCGGAGGGGAAGCTCAGTTTATCCGCCGCCGCTTCATTCACAGGACTGAGCCGTCATTCATGAGGTTCCCTCCTGCTTCTTTGCCGAATTACATCTGCACTTTGGGTTTCTGCATCCTATGGCGTCACGAACAAACTCGCAGCACCTCTGCTGCTCAAGTCTGACAAAAGCCCTGCTGCAAGTAGGTCACATTTAAAAAAAAAGGAAGAAATAAAAAGAGACATTACATTTTGAAGCAATTTCACTTGAATGAAGATTAAAACCCCCCTAAAAAGGAACGAGAGGTGTTGAGAGTTCCTGGTAATCACTGTGTCAATTACCTACAAATGTCAGGCTATGACGCACGGCTCAAGTGTTGTTTTGTTTTCTTGCCCCTGCGGATCCTTTTTTTCTAGTTTCTATCTAGTTAACAGAAGGAGACTCGTTCCTCATGTTCTTATAATGCATTCAGGTGCGAATAATAACGAAGCAGGTCACTGGCCCACGCGAAGCGGACCGGGTCAGGCAGCCGGCTTCAGCCTCGGATGGTCAAAAAATAAATAAATAAATAAAATCGATGTCCCTCTACCTTGATGCACTTACAAGACAAACAGAAAGAAACGCAGGAGCAAGAATAGACAATGACTTGTCAGATCAGATGGCATACCTCCTGCAGCATCGACAGGATGTCATCCTTTTTCTTCTGAAGCTGCAAAACAGAAACAGAGAAGCATTACAGTCTGATTTACAATAAGTGAGTCTGACAGTCGACACAAAGAACAAAAAAATTGACCCTTTCCAGTTCTTTAATGGCAGAGAAAGCAGACAAGTTTTCCTGCAGAGCAAATAATATGCAAATAATATTCAGAATTGAGAAATCTGAAAATAAAAATTGAGAAATTCTTATATATATATATATAAATCGCTGGATGATTGCCAGCGTTAAGATACTCCTCCTGGCTCTGATTGGTTGTTTCAGAGCGGTGCATTTCTGCATATGGCAGTAGGACCACAGGGTGAAAGCAGCTTGATTTTCTTCAAAGATTTTCAGTTCCATGTTACAACACTGACAGTTTTAGCAAACTTTTTTTTTAAAATAATAATTACATTAATAACAAATTGAAAATGTAATGAGGCATCCAGGATTGTATCATCTATCCAGGCTTGTGTTTACTCCATTACATACTGATAACTGAGTATAATTTAGGACAAACAAATAAAGAAAAAAAACAACTCTGCAACTCCTAGATTTCTAAGCCGAACATATGGAAACACATGGAGCCGACTCACACTCACCCTTTTCTTGTAATAAATCCTCCACTTGTGGTACTCCTTAATCACCACTTCAATCCTCCTCTTCCAGTAGCTGCCCTCCAAAATGATTGCCTGTTGTTCCAACACCGGAGAAATCCAATGTTCAACAGAGAAGGAAAGCTAACCACCACTCAATTCATTTGAATCGCTCACCTCAGGCTTTCGGTGAGCTTCTGCCTCTGAGCCTTCCAGCGGCGTGACGAACCCGCACACCGGGTTCTTCCTCTTCTCCACATCTGAGGGTAAAACATACAGAGCAGGTATGTTTTAGGTTTTAGCTTGAGCTAACCAGCATTATACTGTAAAAAAGACATTTATGTGCAATCTGGTAAGAGCCAAAAACATCACGGGATTCCAACCCAGGTCTGAAAGGCAACAGTGATGCCAGCTGTGAAAAGACACAAGAACAACTTACTGAACATACATTAGAGTATACGTTCAGATGAGACCAAAAATACCTTTTGAAAATGTACAATCTTTAAGTATAAATTAAACATACTTTTCATTAAAGCTATATTTTTCTATTAAAAATGGTTTCCTTTATTAATGAATATCCTAATTTTAAATGTCCCGTGTCACTGCAAAAAAAAAACACACTAAATTTTGCCAACTTTATTACACTTGAAATAACACAAAACTAACTTACAAATAACTTTTCAGCAAGACTTAAGAGCTTGTTTTAAGTCAATAATTCCCTATTATTGATTAAAAAAGTACTAGTCCAACTCCTCTTATAATATGGGAAACATTTCTTGTTATAAGTGAAATAATCTGCCAGTGGAACTGGTACTTATTTAATGACTAATAATGAGTTATTGACAAGCTTATCTTGCAGAAAAGTTACTTGTAAATAAGTTCTGTCTTATTTTAAAGTGGGCAAAGATATTAGCACTAGAAATCAGACCAAATAAGATTTTGGGGGTTTTTGCAGATACGTTACTGTAAGTGAAAAATTATAGCAATTAACAGAAATTAATCATAATTAATCTATATAATGAGCTTCACTTTGTGATAAAAGTTCCTAAGATAAATGGGTTTTTCAATTATAGTCCAATTTATTGAATGCGTCTGTATATAAATGTCTGGTTTCAACATATTCTGACATTGTATTATGTTTTCACTGAAACAATCACTTCCACTAGTTCAGGAAACAACTTTCTACTAACATGTAAGATGTAAATCATGTTTGTTAATTTAGCGTCAGATATGTTTGACGTCTCTGTGTTTTTGTTGGTCATCTGCAAGAAGCGTTGTGTTTTTCATGAACAGCATCCCCTGCAGATGGTTCCATCCATATTTCTCAAGCTAAAGCTGTGCATGGATCACTCTACCATGTTCCCAGAAGGTTTCCTTCGCTACATGTGTAGACCGAGGAGCTATTTTTACTCCAAGAGGCAAGAGATTCCAGTCCGACCTGCAGGCGCCGGGACGACCTGAAGGCAGAATCCTCTGTAAACCACACCTCAACTTTCAGCTAGCATCGCCTGGCCGTCACAGAAAAGACAAGAAACAAAAAACTCTCCCGCTAAACTCACAACCAGTCAATAATTTCAATTTTTGCTTGAAGGTTATTGATTGCCATCGTGTCAAAAAAAAATCCATGTTTAATCTTTTTATCCATCTTGCATATTTAAAAAAAAATCCAATTCCACCTGTCTGAGAAAGATCTACAAAGAGCTATCCGTTACTTTTAACAAGTCAGGCTATGCGATAGAGCTGAGATATGTCAGTCCCTGTTGCCCTGTGACTTGTTTGCAGCACTGATGAAGTGATGATGTCCAGCACAAATTTAAAGGCAACGCCTTTTGTGCAACACCTTCAGAGCACAAAGGCAACATTCCACACACATATTACAAAGACATTCAGGGTTCTGAGTACAGGTCCGTCTGCGGTCCTGAACTGTCCCCACCGGTTGAAAAGAAAGATGATTTAAGACTCTACAAGGTTGCACATGTTCCTGGAAAAGAAAATGTTTTTCAAGTATTATGAAAAGGAGAGGAAACATTTTAAAAGGCAGGTAAAGTGTTTTGTTGTTTGTTTTTTTTTCTTTTCTCGTGGTATTTGTTGTATTCCTGGAATCCAGTATAGAGCAGTGAAACAGTTTTCATACCATTAACTCAAAATTTTCACAATTTGGTGAATTTTAAGAGGATTTTATGACAGACAGCGGCCTTGTCATAATTCAGATGAGCTGCAGTGTGTTCTTACACTATTGATACACTGATACACTTTTTTCACTTCCGATGCCGATATCTGAGATTTAGTATCCGATACAGAAAAACAGTGCTGAATTGACTTAAAACTTTTTTTTTAAACACAGACATAAATGAACAGAATTAAACATTTATTTGATAAACCTGCACTAGTACAGCACATTTAAATACACCAATAGCTGGTCGAACATGTAAAAACAAATTTAATTTGTTCAGTCAATACAATTAGCATAATGTGACGGTGCGGTGAGAAGTTGGACAAGGAGTTAGCAGCGGCGGTTAGCCACGCTAACCCGAAACAGAAGGCGCACTTTAACTTTATTTCACTTCGTCCACGTAAAGCCAAATATCTAGTTATAGTCTCATACATGAGAAGAGTAACGACAGTTTACCGCTCTGCACCGCCTCATCATCACCGATGTTTCTCCTCCCTACAACGCGGAAGACGAGTTCTTATTCTGTACAGTAGTACAACCAAGGAAAAAGGGAATAGGCGCCCCCTTGTGGTGATGCCTACTCATCTCTAAGAACCAAGCAGTATAATGACTGTTAGAATAACAGCCAATGTAAAATAAATAATGAAGAAACTGAAGTTGACAAATAGAATGGGTTAACTATCTTGGTCAAACATGTAAAAATAAACTGCAGCAAACCTTTCAAATGGTTCAGAAAGTTACATTAAGAATTCTACATATAATCTAAAATAAATAAAGCCTGACATCGCTCAGAGCACAAAGCATAGAATGAGACTGAATAGATCTATCTGCCCTGATGAATCAGGCACACTGTCACATTACTCAATCTGGAATTTTTTTTTTTCAATATCGGGACCGACACAGATATTAATATTGGATCAGTGCATCGCCATCTTCAACAGACTGCTTGTGTTGGAATGTGACTGAATTAAATGGGCCAAAATTCCTCCATTGGTAAAACAAACAAACAAAAAAAAAAAGAAGCAAAAACGGTATAAATAAAATTGAAAACGGGAAATCGTTTTTCACAGCTGTGTTAGATGGCCTGTCCGCTTTTATTTTCCTAATCTCTCACTTTATAATGGGCAGCAGGTGGGAGCGGAAGAGAGGACGTGCAGACTCACACTGAATGAACCATGCTCTCCATATTGCGTTGTTCAGACGGATCTTATCCCTCCAAAGCAAGCGCAGGCCCTTGAACGACTTCCATTTGGGAGAGACTATTTTCCCACTGTGGTGGAGCAAAGAAGAAAAAAAAAAGAAAGAAAAAAGTGAAATATGAGTTACATCTTAAAGAAGAAGAATGCTGAAAAACAAACTGTTGCCTGACTGTCTCCCCCCTGCGGGAAACCTGTCCTGAATTTGACTAATAGCACCTGACTGACTGCTTTCTCACTACTCAGACAGGATGTTTGCCCCTTTTTTTTTTTTTTTTTTTTACTCTAGGATCCCTCCGCCTGCAGAGTGCTGAGAAAAGGGCTGCTAATGTGAGGTGCTCCAGGTGTTGCTAGGAAGCCCAGCGAATCATTATCAACATGCTTTTAGTGGGTTAAAATGTCTGCAAGTTATTTTCTGAAAACTCATTTAATCTGCTTTGTGTGCAGGACAGTAGATAGACTAAACATATTATAGATTACAGTTGATTTTTTGTAATATTTTAGCTTTTCGAGTAAATCTATATTTGGAGTTTAGCATTTTCTGCAAAAGACCAGCTGAATTTCTTATATTAGTGACTGCAATATGTAGCTGCATCATTAAACAAGCAGCTGTGAGCCTTAAATTAAAGAAAAGAAAAGAAATAAACAGCAGTGGGCCTTCATTACATGACCTTTCCCCCTTTGCCTCAGTTTCTCTGTAATCTTTCCATTCCTGCCAACTGGATTCAAAGTCCAGTGTACAGTGAAGACTTTCCAGGCTGTTGTGTAAGAGAAACATCTACAAGCCTCAGTTATCAGTTAAAAGGGGAAATCTGTTGGAAAACATACTTTTATGCAGACTTTCTTCACTGCAGGTTGCTAGAGGCGCTTTGATACATTTGTGATAAAGCTTGAAGTCATTTTTAGTCTGCAGAATACTTTCTCCATTTCATTGGAAGAGCTGAATTTAAAACTGAGAATGCGTGTTAATAAAGCGGGTGGTTCAGGTTATGTGAGATTCAGCACTAAAGTGCACACAAATCACTTTTCTATGGTCAATAATCTGTGAGCTCAGGTTAGTTGATGACCCGGTCCCGTGACCAGGCTGCAGAACTCACCTGTAAGCCAGAGACATGCACTCGAACAGCCGGGTGAGAGTGGGGTCGATGCTCAGGCTCCCGGAGTGGTACCGGTAGGTCTGGCACCACGTCCTGTTCACCGTGTCGAAGTCGTACCGCAGCGAGCCGCCGCTCTTCCTGCGGCGCGCCGCAGAGTCGCTGTGCGGCGACGACACCATGAAGTGTCCGCTGTGGATCACCTGGGTGCGGGCGAAAGAGCCGGGCGCGGGTTCGACTCCAGTCGGACGAGCAGGACCCCCCTCCGGTTCCGAGTCCGACTCAGAGGAGTCCTGCAGCTGGCTCCGCGCGGCCGAACACACGCTGCCGTTTCTCGCCATGGCATGCAGCGGCTCTGCCTCTCTCCCCCTCCAACCCGCGCTGGATGATTCTACCTGACCAGGGTGGACTCCTTCCAGCAGCAGCGACCGCACACCTCTGCGCTCTGGGCGGGAGCACGGCAGTGTCAGAGCAGACTGTCGGCGTGTCAACTTCCTGATCCGTAAAGTCTTCACGCGAAAACAACTCGGAGGATCTTTAAGGGTCCAAAATGCTGCGGCATTAATTATTAGTCATGATCAAAACAGTGTCTCAAATACTGACCTACAGTGCTATGCGGTCTATTTTTGGCAGGGCTGGAATTTTATTTATTTTGTTATTAAAGAAAAAATAAAATCTAATCGTTTTATAGAATTATCGTACTATTTGACGATACTTATATTGTCTAGTAGTATATAGAACATATTCTGACATATTCACGATATTTTGTGATATTTTGATAAAGGTAAAAGAAATTCTTACTCCTTTTTAGATACTTATATGGCTGGCATGGCATGGCACCATAAACACAAATATTGCTCTTGAAAAAACCGTTCCCATTTGAAATCGGCTTCTTCA